TCTTACTTTAAACAAATCTTTGTGTCAGGGATGTACCATCTTAGACCCCCCTCATAAGGAGAACACTGTGTTGCACATGGCAAGAGGCAACCTCTTTGCTTTTGTAGGACGGAGGCTTAGGAGATGATCCAGGATGTCTTTCTATTCAGCTGCAGTAAGATTATTCAATTGATACATGCAGTTATGCACAGTGCAGTTGTCCTTCTGCCTATGTAAAGTGTAAAATGATGCAAGTACTCTTGGGGTTTGTTGATGAGGAGAGCTTTAAAAACTGGAGGAGCAATTTCCCAAGAAAAGTGATTAAAAGCTTACTGTTTGGACATCAAAATAATTAATTCAGACCAAACTCTGTAGGAACAATGCAGCATTGGCCAGGCGAAAGGCCTGTATAAGCCCACAGGGTTTATCCAGCTATAGACCTTATTATCCCACTTTATACCAACAAAACTCTGTAATTAATATTTCTGGTGTGTTAGAACCCAACACTTTAGTCAGCTTAATTTGGGACGATCCAAACCCATTTATGGCACAACCCAACTCATCCAAACTTTCTAATCATCCTTCAAACATTTATGTGCATTCATTTCCTGAAACTTAAGACGACATGAGTCACTATCCAAATCTTGACTAGAGACAGGGGGTGAATTACTTGAATGGTTTAAATCTCTAATTATCCAGCTTGCTACTTTCACAATGTACCAATTTGAGGTATGGTGATTGTCTTACCCTCACTGAGCTAATACATGTGTAGATGCTCATGTATACACATGTACGTATACATACGCACATGCTCACCTACTTTTCTGCCAAAGAATAAAAGAGGATCTAAGTGAAGACTCTCAGTTTTTCCACTGACTGAATCATAATCACATCATCTTACATACTTAAAAATATGAGCTTTCAAAGACTTAGGAGGAGTTTGGAGCATCTTAAAAAACAGAGCCCCTGCTGCTCACCCGAATATTTTAGCCAGAGTACTCTCAATTTTCTTAAAGTCAGGCCTTTTCTCTGGATCTTCCTCCCAGCAGCTCTTCACTAGTGTATACACCTTCAAACAAAAATTTAAGGAAAATCCACCTGAGTAATGAATATAGAAGGATAATGGTGCTAAACAGCACTATTTCTTTAGGGAATTTCCGGTTACTCTTGACTGGCAACATATTAAAGTGTGTGACTAACTGTTTTGAATCTATGGTTAGGACACTCATTGCAGGCATCTTAAACTTAACTCTGTGGTGACTAGTGACATGATCTTAACTTGAATTTGCAATACATAAATGAAAGGCAAGTAAATGGATCCAGTCTTGCAGCTGGTGCCAAGTACAGTTATTGACATGGAGGTAAATGCTGTGGCTATTATATTTCCAATATCCCGAGTTTGGGATTTTTCTGAAACTGGTGATTCAGCCAAAAAGAATGGGGTTCCTTGCTGAATATGTGGAGGTCTACAATACAGACATTTTTACCTGAGCAAGATGCCTTAGGAACTATATAATCAGTGGATAGAGGTATATTTGAGGTGTGAGTCATCCCATCTTAAAGATATCTAAAATAGGTCAGAAGACTGGCACCATATAAGGGTCCATTTCTTTCCAGTGAAATAACTTTCATGAGTTGTATTTCATTTCACTGGTAACAACTATAGAATACTGTTTTTTTTCCCATGAGGTTAGGGCATTTGGCATAAAATGTGCATAGCTTTCATCCTCCCATGATTAGGAGCTCTATTTTGGCCGAGACTTCCACCCTTCACCCAGAAAATGGCTTAGTTAATTATTAGCTTACTTCCATCTCTCTTTCTCCCACTGTTTCCAAGGACAAGTCTGGTCGGAAAGGCTTCACTCCTTTGCCACTCTCCACTCTGTAAAGTTTCTCTAACACAGGAAAAAGATGCAAAGTTTTAAACAAAAAAACATAAGAAGGACATTCCTTGTGGATAGCATCCTACGATGTTACACGTTATTGTACAAACAGAAACCTTGAAGACACTTCCCTCATTTTGATGTGAATTTCAACTTTAGAGCTTTTCTAAATATATGGCACAAATTCAAAACTGGCTGCCTTGAAGGCCCCTGAAAGCAAAATGAATAGGAATGTACATGAGTATTTATTGGTCACGGTAGACATGGTTATGGCATCTTCCCAAATGAACGTTAGGCATTATTAGTGTGCCTCTCAGCATGAAGTATAGCCATAGCAAAAAACAATGCGAAAAGCCCATTGCAACTTGATCAAAATTGTGGAGACATACAACTCTCATCAGAGCAGTTCAAATCGTCCTGCAGATGCTCAGCTTCCTTAAAACTAGACTATTAATGTATATGGTTTTAAAATGTTGCATTTGTTAGCTCATTTGTATTCTTATTCATGAAATCTGCTCTATGAAAGTTATTTGGATTCTGAACACATTACAATGATGGCTGCATTTGCACAACTCGATTTAAGCACAGTAAGCGAGAGCTAAAGCAAAAATCTCTCCCTGTGTCCTTCTCCTCCAGACCTCAAGAGTTTCAGAGGGAGAGAGTTAAAAAGAGAAGCTATTTTTCACCTCTGGGGGACAGAAAGAGCAACTGAAAGGGGTCCGTGAACAACCATGAAACACATTTATAAATAATATCTGATTATATTTGGGAGACAATTTTACTGAAGGAAGCATATAATGAGATGAGGAGGGTTTGTAATTGTGATGGTAGGTACAAGTCTAGAGCAGCTAGGGATGCCCAGTGTGCGTGATCACCCTAAAAAGATGCAGTAGCTTCCAGCTTTGTGGTACAGAAATTACAGACTAGAGAAGGAGCATGAGACACTTGAGTGTCCCAAATGCTATGGAGTGGAGAGACTGCTAAGAAGTCTTCTGTGGGCTAAGAGACAGAAGAATCTGTGTGAGTCTCATGTATGCAAGAGGAATGTGTTGGATTTCCACACTGCGTGCACACCTGAGAGCGGAAGTAACAACAACTATTAGCAACACTGCAATTAGCCAGTGGCAGAAAGTAGTGGAACAAGGAGACAGCTTGAATTGAGCGTTGGTACGTGACAAGATTTCACACTCTTGAGCAGTGAATGAGGGGTTTCTGCAGAAGAGTGGAGCAACCAGCTGGCCTAGCAGCTGTCTCACAGAGAAGTCAGTGAAGAGGACTATGACCTAGTTACTTCTATACATTAGAAATACAGTTCTGTATGCCCGTCGTCTTCGTGGGACTTCTTTTCTCTCATTAGTAGCAATATTGTTGTATGTTAAGTTGATTGATAAATATTTGCAGATTGAGAAAATTGGCTCACTTAGTACCTGGAAGTTGAGTTTAATTTTCCTAAGTTGGTGGATGGAGGCTAGGTACAGGGGAGGTTTAACAACTGTTTTAAAATCTGAACACAGTCCTTGCTGCTGCCAATGAAGTCCTGGAGAAGCAGTTATATCAGTTGTCCTGAAATATCAATATCATGAGGCTTTGGGCAAGCTGGTCTAGTGGAGGGTGTCCCTGCCTGCAGCAGGGGGGTTGGAACTAGATGATCTTTAAGGTCCCTTCCAACCCAAACCATGCTATGATGATTCTATGATTCTACGTCTTCTAACTTGCAGAGATTAACTTCTGATAGCCTAGCCATTGAAAGACTTTCTGCAGGAGACTTAAAAACCAAATGAGTCTAACATGCAACAGAGACATTTCTTTGCTCATTACCATTGACTCTAATTTGGTATTCTTTTCCCTCTTTTTATCTTAGATATTTGTATATGAATGGTCACCCCAAGTTTGAGCTACTCTGTTCCAAAGTTAAATGATGCCACAAACAAAATTCAAAGGTGTTTGAATAAGTATGGTCTGCCCTCTGGCTGCCTCATCTTGTCTAATGAATGAATCCCAGATATTTAAATGAGGAGCCACTTCAGCAATATATAATGACATTCATTCCTTTCTTTTACATGAAATTTGATGAACTGCTGAAACTAAGCTGAACACATTTACTCGAATTGCATAATCAAAAATCAAGAATAATACCAGAAGCCATTAGATCAGCAATATATATCTTAGACATCTACTAATACTTTTAAGGAAAAAGCTTTGGGGAGAAAAAAATCTCCTCACTGAATGGAAAACTTAAAATTTCAACTGAAGTTTACAAAGCAGATTTTTTTTTTTAAGTTACACTGAATCCAGACTTACCAAACAGGCTTCAGGATCAGTAAGTTTATTACTGTCTTACTAAACATGCTGGTATGTGTGACCATCTCCAGCAACAGCACTTAGAGATGCTAAAAATTGTTTCAGTTGGATAGATTAACTTAATGCTATTTGAAAGGGAAAATCTTTCTCAAATGACAAAATGCAGTGTTAAGAAACAGGTCACAGTTAAAACAAGGAACCAGATTGTGACTATGACAGCCAGGGTAAAACACAGAGCAGTAAGGATGCCACCACATCTCAGAAGAACCCAGAAGCACTGTGTCTGAGGTTAACTTAATGACCGTTAACATAACACAGAAAGACTGTAACTGCTGAACAGTTAAAAGAATGTAGTTTGCTATGGATTTGCTTTGCAAGGAAGAGCATTGCTCTTTCCTTTCTCTATCTATTTGGCAATATTTATAAAATCCTTGCATTCTTGAGGATTGTACCTGCCTCTTCCCAAGAAAAAGGAACAGATTTTTATTTCCTCTACCTTATCTTAAGTATGGAGTCCTGAAGAGTTTGCTTGAAGGGCAACAGGCATTTCTAATCTTTTAGGTCTACATTTATATTAAAGAGTTGGTGACATGAAATACTGTGTTTCCCCAAATATGAACATAGATTTGTGATAATGTAGGATGATGAACATGCCCCAGAAGTTATTCTCAAATGTAACTCAGGAAAAGAGCTATTAGGTTGCCCAGCTGCTGCTCTAGATGTTTTAACAAATGTGAGGCAGATCTATCAGAATGACTCAGAGGTAAAGGCAATGTATAAACTTGTTGTTGGTAACTGTCACTAGGAAAATCCCAAACCCACACATGCGTTAATGTCAGTTCTAATATATAATAATGCTTGGATTCTGGGAACTGGGATTGACTGGGCTGTAGGCCACTCAAAAACAATGTCACAAAATGCACAAGATGGGATTTAATGGATGCAGGAGGAGATTTTTTTTTTTTCTGACAGAAGTTAAATGACTAAAGTTAATTTTGACAAGCTTGAATAAAGTCTGAATTGCCAGTTTTTTAATGCCAGCTGTTCTTCTGTCATGCTGCTGAGCTTTTATTGTTCATTGTTGACATTGCTGATTTACAATGCCTCATATGAGTGAATTATTATATGTTGTGCACAACTCATAATAGAAAAAGCCTTTGTGGCCTTTAAATGTTACAGTAAGTCTGGACAGCATGGTATAATGTTAACTTCTGTAATGCTGTGGCCAAGGTAAGTAGGGAGGAGAACGGGCAAGAAAACTCAATGCAAACTTTATTTACAGAAAGAATAAGGACCCTTGCCCCCACAGTGAGATCCTTCAAACAGGCTCTTCATTCATCACACAGTGAAAGAAGCAGCAGTTCAAGAATCTATCAGAGACAGTGCCTTTCACAAAACGTGGGGAATGGGCCAGTTATGGCTACACCATTCTGGGATGCTGCAATGGAGGAGAAGTTTGTGGATTTACCTTTGTTGTCCCGGCAGTGTCCAGTGTAAAAGGTCTCCCTGCGTAGGATGATTTCCTGAGCAATGATCCCGTAGCTGTACACATCACCCTTCTGAGAAACATCAGCATGACGGAGATGCTCAGGAGCTGTCCACAGGTCTGAAGATCCAGATGACAACGGGGGGGTAAGGTAAAGGGAGAAGGGACAGAAGTAATTGAAAAAGAGTGATCCTTCTCAGAGCATCCATTGGCTATAGTGATGTTTCCTTTTGCTTTTTCCATATCAAACCCCGAGCCCACTGGTACTGTTTATTTCCTACTTCAGCATTGTTCTTGAGAAGCTGACTTCAACACAGGTTAGATAAACCTCTGATGTTGTAGTTTTAAATTGTCTGGGATTTGCTGACCCTACTGTTTTCCACTCTACGTGCAGACCCTCTCCCCTCCAGAAAAGTTATGGTTAGTGGCTATGAACTTGCTTTTCTTAGCTACCTTTCATGGGCTTCTTAGAAATAGCCAATAGCCTATTGGAATAATATAGACCAAGGAATGCCAGTGCTATAAATAAAAAGCTGAGCCATAACTTACTGAGCTAGATGCATGGGGTTTTTTTATACAAGATGTCAGATGAGAAGACTGTAATATTTCCCAGCAGCCTTGATGTCATGAATCTATTGAAATAATTCTCAAGTGCTTTTGAGCCTGACATAATGTTACTTGCTTATAACCACTTTCTTTCTACAGAAATTATTAATCTGTATTTCTAGTGCAACAAGCACAATTGTACCTCAAAACCAGAATGCTGCCATGGTATGACAGTTTATTATGACATTCTGGTGATGTATCATAACAGTGACCTGAACACAGTGACCCTGGAGACAGTGTTATGTTATCAGGCTGCAACATCCAGCCACAATTAATCTGTAGCTCTCTTGTGAAACAGTACGTTTTCTTCAAAGAAATTTGGAGGCTGCTTGTATTTATGAGTATTTATCTCATGAGCAATGAAAGAAGATAAATACTTTACAATATGATCATAATATAAATATCAATATGAATTTTTTAAAATGAAGAATGAATAGAGCATTTACATTCAGTGCACTTTTCTTACTCTTTTTTTTTTTATGTTCTTATTGCTACTCTAGAACATGTTTGTGTCTGAATGTAAAAAATTTCTCTCAGCCCAGTTGCAACCACAGTTTCTTCTCAGATCATATACTACAGTTATGGCACAGTGCTGTGCTTACTATACCCCAAGCTCTACTAAACAGATTCAGATGACATAATTTCAGATGGGCTCATCTTTTCACTCAAGATCAAGAAAGAAGGAAAAGATGAGTAGAAAGTAGTGCTCTATTTTACAGAAATGTCCTATGAATATGAGATGAATAGAAAATGTAAAGAAAAGCCATTAAAATTATTCTAGTCTGATTGAACACATATTGCTAGTTTCCTACCTAAGGAATGAAAAACATTGAGGTCATCATTGCATATCATTACAGATTTTTTTTTAAGGATTATCAGAGTCACAAGTGTTAATGTTTAAATTAAATCACAGAGCACTGCGGTTACACGTGCATCTCATCAATGAGATCATGTGGTGCTTAACTCTTTTTTTTCCTTCACACAAGTTCAGCATTACTGCTGAAGAGCTGTTTGCATGAAGGCCTTGAATGCTGAAAATGTTTCTTGCATCTCAGCCACATGTGAAATCTCTGTTTTCTAACCTGTAAATTTAGAATTCATCTTTCCTTTCATTCTCACCTACACTGCCCCATTTCTTTCTCTACCTGCTAATAATTCTCTTTCATTGCATTATTTAAGACAGTGTTTTCAGATATCATTTGTATGATGGCTACTACATGAAGCAAAATCATATTGTATGTTTTGTATTGTGTACAAGATGTAATTAGGCCCAACTGGACTATGCATATAAGAAAATTCCATTGGGTTGGAAATCATGAAGGAGAGTCCAATTGGGTATTCTTTTTTACCTTTCCTTGGAGGCAGAATTGAATTACAGCCAAAATCAGTGATCTTCACTACCATGCGATTGTCCACTACACAGTTTGTGGATTTGAGTCGACCATGGACTTCGGTTTTGCTTGAGTGCAGGTAAGACATCCCCTGTGGTTGATAATAAAGAGGAAGAAAGCAAGACTATATGTGAGACACCCAGCTGTTACCAGAGTCAACAAGAATGTGAAGTATTAATGTAAGATCTAAGTAATTAAATGGCCTTCATCAGCGATGGAGATGCATAAATCACAATTCTCTGTCATGGAGGGAAACAAGTATTATTTTACAGAGGAGACTTTCCAAGATGACAGGAACAGTCAATATTAAGAAATGAGGAGATCATTAGAAGGATCATGGCATGGAAGACCATCCTTCCTCTTAGTTAACATAAGTCTGGCATAGCATCTTGGGTTTTGATAAGATTCGAACACAATTAAGCAATTAGGAAAATTTATTTCCTCCCACAGAAGTTTTTATTTCACTTGCAATAAATGCTTTTTTGGTAAATTTCATACAGACTTGTTGGAATGTCACACAAAAAAAGTGCTTCTGACTACTTGTTCATCCAATGGACACCGTAGGTGTGAGAGGAATTGCTCTTTATGCTTCTGTCATCTTTGAAGATTACCATACACCAGAGACTTCACTCAGAAACATAGCAGCAGATCCTCTTCTGCAAAGCACAGGGCTAAAGAGGGGTCAATGCAGACAGTGTTAGATGATGCACTAAGGCTTATCTAAGGCAGGGGATCAGATTAGACAATCATAAAGGTCTCTTCTGACCTGACTAATTATGGTTTTCTCTGTACTAGTCAACAAATACCAGCTATCCATGAGCCACACTTGGAAGTGGGCACCATGAGGACTGGCTGATGTAGTTCCAGCTATATTTCCTGAGACTCAGATTCTTGATTCGCAGCATACACAGGCATACAAAGGTGTGTGGTTTGCCCCTTTTTACTTATCACCTCTGAATGTATCTAAGTTAGTGTAAGACACAAATACAGTGCAGTACATGAGAAGGGGCCAATACAGAGGCATAGCAGAAGAACATTAGTAAGTGGGTGTAAACTGAAGAAGGGAGTAGGTATGCTAATTTGCACTCTCTTGCTATTATTTATTCCATTTCATCTCTCTCTTCTGAACTACTTAAGCTCACACCTACTTACAGCCTACTGCTGGTTGTTTTTCTTCCTATAGTTCTCTTTTCTATAGCTGAATATATGAAGCACAATTTATATTCTCTGGAAGCCAGAACAGGTACGTCATATTTGTTTAGTTTCTTCTCTGAATGGTCTTCCACTTAGACTCCTACATGTATAACTCATCCTCTTGTATGATAACTGGTAGATAGACTTTAATCAGGGTTACATAGCTCATATGGTCACTAATACACTGTATGACGTCCTGGGTTTGCTCTCCTTTGGTACCCATTTTTGGGAAGGGACCAGCAAATGCTACAAGAGATCACTGAGACATGAACTGTTTTGGGCGCAGTAGATGTATGTCTGAGGCACAAGCAGCCTGCAAGAGATGCAATCCCTGGAGAATGTTGTTGGACTGGTTATCCTGGACCTATCTAGACTATGCCAAAATTTACAGAGACTGTGCACACTATATCCAAGGAATACATTTCTTGATTAAGCAGCTTTTATCACGCAGCCCTGATGACACTATCCAAGATGTTTCGCCTGCTTCTGGTCCTGTTTCCTCCAGCTGTGCCTTCTTCCAGCACCTGCTTTCATCAGCCGGGAAATATACCCATTGCTACAGCAGAATTCGTAATCAGTTTCTGCATCAAATGGCAGGCAAAGGTAATTTTGATTTCCTTATACCAGGGCTTTCTTGTTAACAGTTTCTGGAGGCAGAAGTCTTATAGATGTGCCTGATAAAATTTTCCTCTTTCCTTCCAACTATCCTATGCACCCTGCTGAAAACACAGCACTTCTTAAGAACCCGTGATGTGATTTTCAAAATTTATAATGTCTTTCAGTGCAGTACTCCTAAATCCTTAAGGCATTCTTGTAACCTCTGCTCTCAAGATCTGAAGCTTTAGTTCTAGACTGAGAACCCTTTTCCTGACACAGTGCAAGAATATTACAATCCCTTGCACAATATCCTGCAGCATCCCCTGACTTAATAGTGTTGCAACAACAGTGTATGCATTAACTGCAAGGCTGGATTACTGCAATTCCTTCTTAGCAGACCTTTCATCAGAGCTCTTTGGTCACGTGTAACCAAAATCCATGTAGCTACAGGTGGTGCCATCAGACCTGGAGACACCAAACATAGAAAAGAGGGGGGGAAAAAAGGAAAAAGAAAAAAAAAAAGTCAATGGAGCAGATTTAGGGCTTCCTCTTTGCCTGCTCCACCTCCTGTAGTGGACTAGAGGATGCTCTAGGAATAGTCACTGCTTGGCTAGCTGTACCAGGGAATAGAAATGATACAACCTCCTCTATTCAGAAACGCTGATGCAGCACCTTCTGTGCCAGATGAAGAGTAGGTGAAGTATGAGGACTGTTTGGGCAACAGTAAAAGCAGGGCGTAGGAAAGTGGTGGTGTGGAGAGGGAAGAGCATATCAAAAGGAAGACAAAGGAACTTCAGGAGCTGGTCATAGGGATTTTCAGAGCCTGGAGAGCTGGGGCTGCATTTGAAAAGGGCAGATGCTGGTATGAGAAGAAGTGGAGCTGAAGGGCTATGAAGCAAGAAGCCATTCAAGTAAAAATAGACAGGGTTCCTGGAGGTTGGGAAGCTGTGGTTTGGGAAAAGCAATGCAAGAAGTTCACAGAAATGTCTACGTCCCAGAGGCAGAATGGGATTTCTCTCTCCTTCTCATCAACAGAACCAGTACCAATCCCTATTTTCTTAGGAAACATCTGCAAGTGAACTTCAAAGGGTTAAAAAATACTGTGGTTTTTGATATGCTGTAAGAAGGAAGGGAAACTCCACTGCTGCTATTTAAAATGAAACTTAATGCAGAGCGTTAACTGAACTTGAAAGTGATTAACAAGTCCAACAAACTGTGACAATTTGGATTAAGAGGGCTTTATTAAAGAGCAAGATTTTCAATATCTCTTTAGAACAGACACAGTGGAGTCATTCATCGTGGAGACTAAATCTGAACTGGGGCATGTAGGGAACAGGGAGGACTGTCCAACTGCAAACCAGCAATAGGAAGAGGAGAGCAGTTGAGCACTGGCAAAAAGGCAGAGGTAATTCTCTACATAACCTGCAGAGGTATAAGGAACTATTATACCTGTGAATTATAAAGGTTCTGTAACTACTAGCTAAACAGATGCAAGTTTGTACTGTAGAATAGAATTTCCTTTACCGCCCATATTGGGTCTTCCTACCACAAGGACGTAAAATGTAAAGATCTGTTGAAAGCTACTGAAAAGCAGTCTTGGTTTCTGTACAGGATTAATTTCTTCCCTCTCAAACTGCCTGAAATGGATAGCTTTAGTTTCTCACTCTAGTGGGTGAGAAAATCAGGATGCAAAATAAACAGTTTATTTAGAAAAAGTTTATCCTGTCTCTGGATACAAATTGGAATAATTCCATCATTTTGAAAAAACACAGTTTTCCTTTATGTGCCTTACCTAAGGCCAGGGAGCAGTGTGTTTTGCAGGTCTTGTGACTGCACAGGCCCTACTAATCAGAGCCACTGGTCAACGGATTGTAACCCTCTGATCTTTGGGTCACATTTCTTTGGGGCATACTTTGTTTGTTTGTTTATAAACAGCCAAAGCCAGCTCTGGCTCCCATTTTCCCCAGTTTGAGAGCTGGGGGCTCCTCCTGCCTCATGCACCTATCCTCACAGGAGTAAAGAGTGGAAAGACATACATCCTCTAGCAAGGGAACGAGAAGACCCTGAGAGGTGCCCTTCTCCAGAGGATCCATTTTGCAAGACAGGACAGGTTGATTAACATTGCACTGTCAGCAGCCCGCTTACCTTGGCAATATCGTACATGACGGAGATTTTAAATTCCCAATCCATGAATGTGCCGTCAGGGTAGGAGATTTTATCATTTAAAACATCCTGTGAATATAAGAAAAGAGTGGTTCTAAACAGCATCAGGGAAAAAGGAGAAAATGAGATACGAGTATCTAAATCACACAGCCTTTCAACCAGCAACTGAAAGAGGTAGCTCTTCATTTTTTATAGGGAGTACATGCACTAGAGCAGGAGCTGACTCAGAAAACAGGGAATATGAAATATATTTTAGGTTTACACAGATCTAGAAGATTGAGGAGTCCAGAAACAGGGGTTTGTGTAATTAAATTTGCTTTTAAAGCTGAGTCTTTAATAAAGCAAAATAGCTGAGACAGAAATGGGCAAGATGTGCAAGGGGAAGGGAAATTAATTTCTGTGGTTTGAGCTCACAGTCCATTTTCTACTGATTTACTCATGGCCTTATAAGTTCAAAGTAGACTGTTCCTTTATCCTGAAGTACTAGTTATTTACAGTTCTTCCAGCCACTATGATTTCTGTTGCTAAAAGTAAACCTCCATGAATATGTCAGTTTACAAGAAAAGAACTAGAGATAGAGCTGTTATTTTCCTGCCTTGCTGTGAGTTTGTTCCAGAGACCACTGCGGCTGATGAGAGTCTTTGTATGAACTCAGAAGCAGAGACAATGTGTACCTGCAGAAGAGCTGATGCCACCATTACTTCATGATTAGCACTGAAATAACATCGGTAGTAATAAACTGTAAATCTTTCCATAATCTTGCCAGGCATCAGTTTATCATTTCCTTTTACAAACAGAAATGAAGGGCTGTTGTCCTTTGCAGCACAGGATTTGCCATATTCCAGCCTCGAACTGTTTGTCCCTTATTAATACGGAATATATTCTTTTCTCTATCCTTTCACACTCTGGGGGCACTGTGGGGTCCACAAGGGCATCAGCAGAGGTAACAGCTACAGCGTGGAAAACAAAGAAAAATTTATATCATATATGGTCCCAATAGGGGACACAATACAAATACTGACTGTTGCTGTTGCCTCAGCAGAGCTCTGCCTGTACTTTTCCTTGCTTGCACCTCACCTCATCCTCTGGCTGCTGAGAACCATCAGACTGAGGGCAGCCACAGCAGCACCTGAGGAAGGCTGGAGAGAACCGAGCAAGGGAGAGGGAACTCGGAGTCTAAAACCTGCCACCACTTGCTCAGTCCATGGCTGCTGCATGAGGACCAGAGACACAGAGATGGGGAATTTTTTTCTTACTTTGAAATTTCATAGTTTGGGGATGGAAGGAGACCTGCAAAATTCTTTACCCGCAGAGAACCTCTTTCGCAGTACTCAATCACCGCAAAGATCATGGTGTCTATCTTCACAGTGCCATAGAACTTGGTCAGGTTGTAATAATCAATCTGTAGGAGCTAGAACAGAAACATTGCATCTATTTTTAAAAGCAGTCACTGTTAGTACAGAAACATAGGTCAAGGATACTTGTGTGATGTGGCTTTTATCTCAGGCCCTGATAAGATGTATGAGTTTCCTTTAAACCAGTGTGTACTAAGGCACTGAGTGAAGTACTTGAAGACATTTGTCATTCCAGAGCCTTCTGGGTTAGGGAGATAAGAGTGGCTACTGTTGGATACTGCAAGTTAATTCCAGAGCCCCCTATATTGCCTCTCTACTCAAACTTCCTGGTTGACCAGAATAGCCATTATGACTGACAGAATGTTGGGAATCAGTCCGTAAATGAGCAAGTAATAAAAATTTAATTATGCTGCATGATATTATGGACTTTGTCCATTTATATAGACAACTGTAGTTTACTTTGCAGTATTTTTAGAGCTTATTGAATTCACAGTATAGCTGTATTGTGTAAAAAGGAAAACCATTCAAAAAAGGTGCACTACTGCAGCCAAATTCATTTCTCATGTTGGAAGAGTCTGTATCCACAAGTCAGCAGAGAGTTACTTATATTTAAAGAGCTGCACTTGGCATTCAATAGTAAGATTTAACTACAACATTCTGCTACTAATGAATTAGCATAGGAGCAAGAAGAGTGCATTGCCTTTTAGCATCAGCTATAAAAATGCATTTAGCAAGGCCATATGACGGAGCATGAATTACTTCACTCATCCTCAGCTTCACTGGCATACAATTCAGATTCTGAAGTGGTGATGAGATCACACACACAGAGAATGTTCACCAAGCAATATCCTTTGAGGAACTCATTACCTGTCCACCTCACAAACATGCACAAGCATATGGCTGTTGGAGTTGACAGTGGAAAGCAATGACTTCACTCATAGGTTCCAACCCACCCTGCAGTGTCCAGTTGCTACGTGCAACAGTTACCTTGTTCAGTTCTATTTTTTGCTTCTCTGAGAAATTACCATCATTGTTTTTGAGATCCTTTAGGATCACCACCTGAAGAAAAAGTAACAGTGGGGGAAAAAATCATAGGTTTAGCACAACAGCAATTCATCCTTCTTTTCCAAGAAATTTCCATACAAAGAAATACTTCAGAAGCACCTGCCTACTGCTTCACTGTTGCAGTTTCAGTTAATCGGCTAATAAGTAATGGGGTTATATTTCCTTCAAAAGATTTACCAGGTAGACAGGAACTATTTAGAATTGTCAATGATGCAAATTTTAACTCAATATGAATATATCTTAGTCAGGCAGATGGCTCTACTGAATGTACAAGTATTGCCATGTAAACAGCCTGTCCTCCATTAATCCATTAATCTCCCTGGTTCCAAAATGTATCAGATTTCTGGTCCCTCTGTTTCTACTTCTGTGCTTCTGGACTAGGCTAGGGGTTCATGCAGTCTAATATTTTGCCTCTGGTCAGTAAGCAAAATGCAAAGCATCTGGTAGGGAACAAATGGCTTATTCCTTCCATAAGATCAAGCCGTTTTGCAAGGTCAGGAGAGGTGGAATTACTTCTGGAGATGAACAACCTCCTCCCAGAAAGAGCCCTCCTAAGCCAAGGAAGGGAGTGTGGACACTGCAGTCAGCTTACCTTCTTGTCATATTTGCCTTGGCGCAGCCTCTGAATGGTGTCACGTCTCTTATCTTCATCGATCTGAGAACAAAGAAGAATAATTAACTTGCAATTATCACCTACTGCTCACTTGGCAGGTCCAGAGAGATAAGGAAGTCAGTGTGTACCACGCAGAAAAGCATAAGCCTGTCCCTCTGGGGAGTGCCACTACATGCCACAGAAAGTGTGGGACATCCATGCCGCTCCCATGGCTGCTGGGGCCTCCGCCTGCTGCCTTCATTACTCTTGGGTGTTACAGGGGCATTACAAAGCACAGGGAAATAATTTTTAACAGTGGTGAGGTGGAAGAGACTGGAAATCAATAACCAGCCCATTTCCCCATCACAAAATGAGCTTTACTGTTGGGAAAAAGATATATTCTATTAAGGAGCGATAGATGGGAATAATCTCTTTTTTCTTTCATACAGCAAGGGAGGGTTAAAAAAATTTAAAAAATATTTTAATAGATCCTAGTTCTACCAGAACCATAGTCTGCGTTGTAATTGGAGCATACCAACACCCCAGCATCGATGGTCTTTAGAAGACAGAATCCAAGACCCAGCTTCAGGCATCATGCTTCTCTTACCTTCAAACTAACATGACTTGTCTCACCGGTCTCCAGAGGCAAAATTTCCTCAGGCGGTATATGGGACCATTTCTTCCACCGACGCTCATTATCTCTCCTGTACTTCCTGCAAAACAAGTGAACTCTTTCAGAATATCCTCCCAGTGAAATGAAACTCACAACAGGAGATTAGGACAGGGAAGCTTCCAGTGTCAGGATGACACAAGGATGGACTGTCAGGTGGGCAAGGCTTGAGCACAACCCCTGTGGCTCTCGTACAGTTTTCCAGTTTGAGGCTGCTCTAATTCCTCTAGCTTTGGGAAAGCCTAAATGCTTGTTCAAATCCATAGATGTAGCAGAAGAACAGAACAGATTTAGCAGAACAACTGCTAGGCAATTGCCAGAGTCTCAAGGGAGGTCAGAACAATTTAAAGCACAAAGGGCTGTCTGGATTTTTTTATAGTCTTCTCCTCTGTGTTATCGAATGTACTCTGAAGGGAGGTCCCACAAACAAATGCAAGCCAAAGGAAATCCTGGCATCAATGCTGGATGGTAAGAACTGGTGTGAATACAATGCCAGGAGAGGAGGTAACAACAGTGTTGAGATGAGATGCCTTTTTGTCAGCGTCCTTTGTATTCTGCACATTTTGTAAAAATGAGGGGAGAGCCCGCAGAACAGGGAGAAGGAAACTGCTGACTCCTTTGCAGAACTTCAGAGCAGACACTGTCTTCTCTTAGAAAAAAGCTTCAAGAAGACGAGCACTCATCAAACTACCTGCTTACCCGTGCAAGTCCTTCCTCCATTAATAAAAACACAGGACTGACTGAGAGACTGCAGGGGAATCACAACACCCCGATGACTGCTGGCAAATGCTCCAAATGGGAGAATCCATGGTATGGGCTAATAACATAAATATTCCTTTTCCAACATATTTTAACTCACATGTGTATAAGGAAAGGGAAACCAATAATTGTCGTAAGAACTGTTTTTCTCAGTTCAATCTTGTAAGCTGTGTTATATCAGCAGGATGCATTGTAATTCAAACTAGTATCACCTGGTGATTAAGTAAATATCAAACTGCATGAAAATCTACTAGGTCTAATATTTAGTTATGTGTTTTTCAGGACTTTGCCTTTTTACTTAGCAGTCAGAACTACACAGGGTGGTGTGGGATAGTTCAAATGTCCTAGAAACTTGGAAGATAAAGAAGGAATAGTGAGGCATTTTGTTCTTTTTCATAGCTGAATCTCTCTTCTCCTTTGCTTGTTAGGGGACAATCTTCAATAGAAACTATAGTTGAGAAGTTTGCTATTATTTCAACACTAAAATGGCAAGCTTTATACTCAAAAATCCTCAGGAATCTCTTCTATATTTGATGCTTGGGAATATTACAGTGATATGTATACAATAATAATCTAATAATCTAAACAGAATCTTTAGAATAGTACAGAACCTTTTACAACAAGTCCAAACTGCCTCCAAACAAATTTTTATTAGCCATTACAAACTTTACCTGTCTGTTTATGTTAGTGCTTAGATGTGGCAATGATTAGCTCTTCCATTTCTGGAGTACAACTGGATCTGTAAGAGCTGTATACCTTCATCTTTCATTTTTCCCTTGTGAAAAGCTTTAGTTGGCAAGGCTGATTGGTGCACTCAAAAAAAAAAAAAAAGAGAGCCTTGGTAGTATCTATTTCTAATCAAGTTTTCTTATTTCTGATTTTCTCACTTTTTCTGAAGTTCTCTGATATATAGCAAAGAGGGATGCTGAGCTACTGAAAACAGATGCACAGGTAAGAATTTTTTTTAAAATATGAGAGAAAACCATATACTTTGGAATTGAGGTGGCATTTCCTCCAGCAAAAGGAGACATCATTGATTTCTATTTGTCCTTTCTTCCATCATGTTAAAGCTGAACTTTGTTACACTTATGGAATTCTAGCTGTTAGAAAAGTTGGTATGTGAAGAGTTGGACTGAGTTGGCGGAAACTGAAAGACAGGATGGATCCATGAAATTAAAACACCAAAACCTAATTATGTTTTTATTCCTACAGTGACTCAGGACAAATACTTCCTTCTAGATTGAACTTTTAGGTTAAAGAAACATAAATGAACCCCAAGTAAGCTAAAGATGGGCAGTAAGTGGAAAAAGTCTGCAGATTGGTCTGAGACATATGTTTCTGTGTATGTATTGGAATTGGAGCTTTTTAGCAGATGCAAAAACTCTGAGCCTTGCTGCATCTTCTCCCTTGATTATTAACCTGACACAACAATGCAATGGATGCAAACACTACTTGGCATATACTAAAGAGTTCACACTGAGGGCAACCACCCAAGTATGTAAGGTAAGCTAATGAATGGCTCTTCAAGGAGAGATCAAAGGCATTGCCCTAGGAGGAAAACTGTTCAAGGACAAACAGAGGGCCAAAGGGGTTGGTACCTTAGAATCAGCAAAGAGATGATCAGAACCAGAACCACAATTCCTGTGAGTGTAAAGACAGCAATGGTCAATATGTGTGGGCCTGCAGAAAAGAAACATTGAAAAATAAACAACTTGACAGAAGACACTGAAAAACAATATTACATTTAAGAAATTACCCTCACCCACACATGTGCAAGTCACGGTAGCTAAGCAGGGATATTCTTTGGTCATATCCGAATTGAGAGGCTTTGATAAAGTCTGGCACTGCCCAGAGATGACACGTGCCTGCCTCTTTCACTGTGGGATGAAGCATGACCTGAAGCAGCAGAGTCTTACATCCCTACCTGAGGGATGGGCACTCTGATGGGACACCCAGGTGGGAGGTGAATTTAACAGCACCAAATCCCACATCAGCTCAGCAGCAGAGTTTCCAGGTATCCTCCTCTTTAAAAACAAACTAGGATAGTCCAGGAATAAAGCTGACTTTTCTTAGTAACCACTTTTTAAAAATTCAAGCAGCCAAATTTCTTTAATAATTTATTAAGAAAGGATGGTGGAGGCAAACCTTGGCTACAACTCTGTGCGGGATAGGGATGTAGATGGGGTAAGCAGCTGACCATTTGAAATGAGAGTCACTGGCAGGCAGGCAGCATTGTTTTCCCCCAACATACCCTGGGCTTAATGCAAAATGGGCTCTTTGTTGACTTCTTTGGATAAGGCTTTCTCTGAACTGGGGAATAAAGGTCTGGTCCCTATGGTTTTTATCATTAAACACAATACTCAGTGATGACTTTCCACTTCAGGCTTTATAACCTTTGTTACTCGGAGTCTTGACTGATATAATTTGCTTCAGGATGGGATACACCTGAAGACCACAGCTTCCACATAGAATTTCGGCTGATATGGAGTACAGCCACTTGTGGATTTGAACGGCATTTCTCACAAGAACTTGTTATCCAGGAAGAGGTCAAGATGAAAATCATGGTACAGCTTTTAACATACAAAAACTTGTCAACATGTCACACCTGCGTTCTCCCCTTATTGGCCCAGTTGTGTAAAGTGATTCTGTAGTTGATGCAGACAGAGCTTTGGAGACTGTGGACTCATTTCCAAATATGTCAGTAGACACTGTGTTGGGATGACAAGTGGTACTGAGGGGACTCTACTCTTCAAGATGAAATTCATATGTTATAGAGGGAAATTCATCTGGTGCAGCACAAAGCTGCCAGCTTCATGTCCTTGGAAGCTGCAAGGTGCCAAATGATTTGAAATTCAGGCTCTTCAGGCATATGAGGACTTAGACCCAAAATCATAGAACGCACAAGGGTCTTAGTCTTCAGCAGGCAGGCAGAACAGGTGAGGCTGGGAACTGATTATTTAAGGTTATAATTTTGATTGTCTTAAAGTGGAAAAGCGAACTGAAGCCTGTCTTGGGCAGTTCTTGGAGCTCAGGGGTACTGTGAAGGAAAGTTGCAGCTACCAACTCTTCAAAGAGCGACAAGCCATTAGTGCAGAGCTTTGTCTGGTAGCCACACACCTGGAGTGTGCCTACTCTATTGAGCAAGTGTCTTAGACAAAGAAGGCAGAGGAGAATCTAGTTTCACAGATTTCCATGTTGGTTACTTAGCCTTACTGAGGCTAATGCACTTCTCTGTGTGCCCAGAAACAGAAATAAAGGCACACAGGAAAATGGTAAAGTGTAAAAATTAATAAATAAGTAAAAAGCAACAAAAGACACACTAGCTGCCTCCAGAATCAAACACCGGCTGGGCAGGGATTTTGAACATACCAATGTAAGTGTCTGCATCTGACATTGAATTCAGTTTAGGAACTCTGGATTTTGGACCCAGCTTTCTGGCTTTGATTTTTTTGTTCTGTGTATCATGTCTCCCCACCTTCATTCTGTGTGTTCATCCCAGCGTTGGTCTCGGGGCGTCCTAGTAACTTAATATTAGTCTGATGCTCTCGATTGAAAACTGTCAGTACTACCGTTTCCCTCCCCCAAGGAAGCATATCAAGATACCACTATAAACCGACATATACATAATAATGTGCAAAGCCATTTCCCACGAATTTTCTAAAACTTAAGCTTTGTGAATAGTGGTTTGCACCTTAACAATCCGCAGGCTGCAGTTGCCTATGGAAAGGCTGTGGGGGCCGCGGTTTGCCGTTCCTGAGGCTCTGCTACCACCTCCTGGCTCTCTGTATTACAACACGCAAAGGGAGACTGCATCACAAATTAACTGTTTCCAGGTCCTCTGGAACCAGAAACGTTTGCGTATTGAAGGCTGACCTTATCCATGTTTAGAGTGAGGGTTCAAACTTTCCGAATAATGGCAAAATGTGGATGAAGCTCTGCATAATAGCAAAATGTGGATGAAGACCCCTTTTTTTTTTACGGGTTTCCAGGAGGAAGGAGGGTAGCAGAACTGGGTCAGCTGTTCTCAATTACAGCTAAAGAAGGAGCAGTGCTCTGGTTGCTGTGTTTGTGCACCTCCCTGGAGGAAGAAACATTTTTCTGGTTGGAAAGTTTTGACTGGCTTTGGCCGTACTTAAATTTACTTAAATTTTGGCTGTAAAAAATTGCCCTTTGGGGGAATATATTTGTTTAGAATCACACCGAAGGAAGGTTTATTTTTAAAAAATGTGAAAACAAAATCATCAAGTGCCTGTGGAAGATGGTTTTACTTTGATTTAGTATAGCTTGGCCACAAAGTCAGGCCTTTGTTAAGCGCTGAATGTTAAGCTACTAGTTTAACACTGGCTTTCTGCAATTCTCAAATATTTTTCTTTTGCCCTTGTACAGCAGCTTCAAACAAGGATGTAGTCAGGGGAATATTTTAAAGATACAGAGATCCTCTAACAACATGGCATGTTGTGAGGACAAAGGGATGAGTAAGAATGGGACTGGAGCAACACTGAGAAGACTGGGGCCAAGCAGCAAGCCCTAATTTGGAGACATCTGATTTCCTTTACTGAGCAATAAAAGTGTTTGAACCGATGTACCATCTTACTGTGAATGGACTTTTAGTTATCAGAAGGTGTTTGTTCCTCCAGTTATTGGTTTACATGGTAATATTCCCCAGTGGAGGTAAGCAATACAGTAAACTAATGGAGGCAGAGCCTTTAGCAGAGACCTTTAACAGCGGCACCTTTGGACCACTCACTGATGGGAATGACTCAGGTGAAAACTAATACACTGTGCACTAACCCTTGCAACCACTGCCACTGCAGTATTTTTTATCCTGCCTATTGTACCCTGAAGAATATATCTTTCCATTGCCAATCACCATGTGGCAGCAGTCAACATGGGGAAACAATCCAAATCTGCTCCAACTGACAAGGCTGTACTCTGCTATGCTGAATTACAAGGAGATTCAACTATTCTATTCAGGAGTCACCAAAAACTCAAAAGAAAAGGAGGTGGTGATGTCTGGGATTTCAGATTTCAAGTTTGGCCGGAGATAGAGCAATAACCTAGTTTCCTATTGTCTATCTGCAAGGAACCAGCTTGTCTAAGAAACCCCTCCAGCAAAAACACCCTTAATCTGCACAGTGCTGTGTCTTCTCCTCAGCTCCCTACAACAAGGATAAACAGACAAGCAGAAGCTACCATGCTGCATCAGCAATACAGAAAGGCAGAGTCAGATAACCCATCATAACTTTTGTCTCTGCTGCCTTTCCTGAACAGTCTTTCAAACAATTCACACTACCACCATCTTCTAGAGAACGTAAACATAAAGTTCAGGGGTGACCTCTTCCAAAACACACCATGGTATTCCCCACGATCACTGCCACAGTGTGGAGTCTATGAAAGACTTAGTATCGCCTAAACAGAAATGCAGGTTTAGAATTGGGGGACCATGGGGGGCTGGGGCAGGGGAAGGAAAGATGCTGTTCTGCCCCCAGCTCCTGGCACCACTGGCTGGGAGCAGTGTGAAGGTAGCGTGCTGGATTGCACAGCAGGTGGAACTTAGGACTGTGTGACTTATCTTTGAAGAAGAGGTAGGTTAATGGGTGTCTCACCAGTGCCTGGAGTATCACTGGGCAGCTTGTGGTTCTTCCAGACAAAATCCGGACTGGTAGTCGTCATGTGTGTCTTGTTCTTTTGAGTGTTGAAATACAGAAGAGTGTGGAACTGTGGGTATAGGAGGGAAGAAATCCAGTCAGCAGCTGTGCTCTCCCTCTTTTGACCCTTGCTTCAAACTACCCTTAATAAATGTATTGCCCAAACTCAAAGTAATTCTTGCTCTTTCTGCTACAGTGGTGCATTCCTCAGCTTACCTATATGTTTGGCTGCCATATTCTTCTTCATTCCTCTCCTCTCTTGGAAAAGAAATGTATCAATCCCACAAAATACCAGCTGCACTTACTGAATCACCAGATGACATCAATCCTTTCAGTCTCCAGTACGCCTCTCATGACCCCCTCCTGGCATGCACAGCACGCCTTGGCACGCCACCACTTCTGCTGTAGTTATTTTCATCATTCTTATGCAATAGTACAGGGCATTTTGCTTTTCCTTTCATATATAAGGTCAAACAGTTGCTTCCTGGACATACATACATGATTTGAAGATGTATACAGCAGGGTCAAATTGGTATCAATGTCTCCAAATTCATCTAAGGTCACAGGACCCAGTACACCTGCAGACACAAGGAATTAGTCAGAGGGCTTGCATTCTCAGAAACACAAATATGTGTCAGGAAGGATGGGATAAATAAAAGGATTTCTGACGCTCAGGATATTTTTCTTCTTTATGTATATGCTAGAATACATATCAGCTTAGTGTGGCTCTACTTCTCCCTTAATAGCATGTCACATTTTCTCTACGAAACCCAATAAAAGGTGTTGAATTGATTGCACTGAATAGAAAAGTCTCCCTCTAGCTATAGAAAAATATATTTGTCAGGTTTCTTCAGCATACCAAGAATGTCAGAGTAACCTCCCTTGAAGGAACCACTTTAGAAGTGAGAAGGGAAATTGCCTTTTTCCACCTGCAGTTTGAATCTATCAGCAAGAAAGGAAATACAGGGATACTTTCATTCCCTTTGCTCTTTAAAGAGCTACCTGCTTGGCTCTAATGATATTATTTTAATCAGGTCTTTTTCCCTTTAACCTCCTGCCTCCGTATGTCAGTAAATGTGCAGATTGAGAAATTAACTATGTAGCACATTCCAAGGATTTTAAAGTGGAACTTTTAAGTCACTCAGTGTGGCTTGGCTTTTCCCTCACGAAGTCAGTCATTTCAACAAGAGCACAAGCTTAGCCAATACCCACCACTCCTGAAAGTCTCACCTTCCTTTTTTCCCTTCTTCTTTCAGCAGAGTGATTTTGATCAGCTTCAGATTGCTCTTTTGCTCCTGTTGCTGATGACTTTTTTTTTTCCCCTAAAGCTCAGCATCATCATTATTTTAGTTTGAGACTCCCTTTTCACCTCAAAAACTTATGCCAATTTTTTCATGGTCCACCTTCTTAATATCAAAATATGTATGAACTCCATACTCTACCAGCTTCCACAAAAGAAAGAATCAAGGTGGTTCAATACCATTCACTTTTAGGATTTTTTTTTAACTGAACTTATAACTAATGTGGAGCATTACGATGCAAGATTTATTTCAGATAAGTAAAAAAGTTTGTGCAACTTACCTTTCAAATTTAGTGAAACTGAAGAAATGCATTTACTGATATTCAAAAAAGAATGCTGTCTCCAGGAGGAATTAGTAAACTATATTTTGATAGGTTTGGGATACTATGGTTAAAGCAAAGATAAGCCCAAAACCTGTGAGGCTGTATTAAGAAAATCTGGGAAATTTCTACACATAGGTTTGCTGGAAGCAGTTGGGACATAAACACAAAGCTTTGAATCGTCATTTTGGTACAGATCTCTAATGTGAAGTGACAGCTGGGACTTTGCTGTTGTCACTTCTTTGTGTAAGTCTTGCTTCTGTCTTTTCCTAATGATGGAATTATGTGATTTTAAGCCCGTGGCCTACGAAAGCCCACTGGTTGCATGCACTGAGGTGATTCTGCATGACTGCTATGTAGTGCTTCTGCTAATAGTGAAGATAACATCCTTGGAAAAAATGATAGAAAAAGAAAAAAGAGTGGGAATAAAACTCATTGAAGGGCTTGGACTTGTTTATAGAATCATAGAATCATAGAATCTTTAAGGTTGGAAAAGACCTCTAAGATCATCAAGTCCAACCGTTTAGTGTAGATGTGACTTATCCTAAGAGTGCTTGAGAACAAATTTCTTTCCCCTCATCAATTTTGTGAACTCTGCACAGGACTGTACTTTTTTTTACCTTCAAAAGTGGTATTTCGGAATTCATTGATGAAACTGAGAGGTGACACTGGCTTCTGGGAGAAGATAAATTTCTTCAGAATATGTCCAAACAGCAAGACTGCATTAAAATAGCCAACAACAAAGTCATCTTCCATCTAGAACAGGAGAAAAATAAAAACATTTGAGAGTTCATGTTTCTGCCTTAAAGCTACAATATCTTTGGTGGTCTCCATTTGGCAAAAACTCCAGCATGGAAGACCAGAATCTGCTGAACACTGAGTGAGTAGATGGGCAATGACACATCAGCATTCTCGCTTGGAAAAATAAAGGTAAACAAAATATATTTTTGGTGAATGAAGACAGGGAGGTGGTAAAAACTTATGAGTTTTTATAAGTTAAAGCTCTGGCATGCTGATCCTGGCACAAAGGATTTGAGAAATCCTACATTGTAGGTTCTGGGCAAGCCTGCTCAGTGGGACCCAAAGCCCCTGGCTTTGGATTAGACTTTCTGTGCAGATAATCCGGTGTGGTGCCAGCGAGTCTGGGCTTCCAGATGGCCACGGCTCAGGGGCAAGGAGCTATGCCAGAATTTCCAGCAGCCTGCCATGGAGCCGGCACCCGAAAAGCTTTGAGCCCAGGCTGGGGGATCTGGAAGCCCTATAAATCCAGCCAGAAGCTTTGGGCTGCCTGCTGGAGAGCAGGAGCTCAAAGCCACAAATCCTGGGAGGAATTCTACATGTAGAGCCTGATTCCTGGGCAGATGGCAGGAGTATCAGCTTCACTAAGCAGATAAAGGGTTTGCATAGTTTCTGCTTTTCAGGAAATTAAAAAAAATACATATTTCCTATAGAAAAAAAAGTTCATGTTTTTGAAGTTTAACTGGAAATCTCCTGGACAGAAACAGCAATGGTTGCCACCACTTACACATATCTGCACACAAAAATCAGTTAACAATTATTAGTTCTGAACTTTCCATGCTCACATCTCAATTACACCTATAGATCTTCCTTCAGTGATGTCATGCAGCTACAGATAAGATTATCAGTCACTCAGAAGTGGAGTCAGAAGGCCATGTATCTGTAGGTGTCCCTCATGCCCCATGAACATGACACTTCCAGGCCAAATTAAAAACTTGAGTTGAACTTCACAAAGCAGGAATATGAGATCCTGCATGTTTGCCTTATGATACTGTATTTTTACATCATTACAGCAGGACAAAATGTCATCCTGTCATAATGTAAGAAAATAGAAGCATGATGGAGGATGATTACAGCTGCATTTTTAGTTTTCGTTTCCCAGCACATGAACATGAATAAACTGAATGCAATAATCAGACATAAAATAGTGTGGTTACCAGGATGGCATCCTCAGTCTTTATGGTATTCAAGCTGTAATTAGCCGGTGGTAGAGTCAGGACAAGTACATTCTGCATGTAATGGGCTGAGTTGTTGTTCCTGAAGTATGTGTTACTGCAAAGCAAAGCACAAGAACCCCACGAACAATCAGCAACAGGGGCAGTGGTAACCATGACAGAATCACTCACCTCTCCCCAGCAGCACTGTTATTTAACAGGTTAAAACAGTAGTTCTAAAAATAAAATTTCATCATGGACAAAACTCTTCATGTTGTTAATTCCCTGATGCCAGCTTCTGTGCTTAACTACATTAAAAGGTAATATCAAAGAGATCTGGCAATCTGAAACTCAAAGGTTGCAGTGAATTATTGTTAATATTGTAACTGTTTGGTTTCTGTGCTGTTTATTTCCTCTTTTTTCAAGCAAGAGTTTATACTTATTAAAACTGAGTCTCTTTTTGGAATCCACAGTACTGCAATCTGTAGTTTCTTCATGTTATGGTGCATGTTTCTGACCTCTTCTGCACACTTTTGCGTGTTCCTCTAATTTTGATATTTCCTGCTAGAATTGATCACAGCAGGCATTGCACTAACGCAGGAATTGCACTAAAAGCATTTAAGAGGAGGTCATGAAACAATCTGAGAGGTGCAGAGAGCAGCTTATTGATTTATCTGTTTAATTAAAAGTGAGCTAGGAAAATCAGAAGAAACTGTATGAACTTGAAAACTATGCTAAAACAAGCAGAAAAACATTGTAGCTTTCAGGTATCTTTGGTTTCACCACCCTGACAGGCCATCTGGAAGTGCTTCACAGACTGGCAACCACTGTATTCATATGTTACAGAAGAATTTAGCAATAGTTATCAGTGTCAGGTGGCAGCATCTGACATTGCTATAGCTAGATTAATAAAAAATAAATTGCATGAGCCTTCTCTCATTATTTGTGTTTGATCATCCTTTTATTTTTTCAGTCAGTACTGTATTAAGAACTTTTGGAGACCACAGGCTCTGGTCCACAGCCATCAGATGGGATCCTGACACCAGAACCCTGTCCCTGCCTTTCCCTGAACCTTCTGACTTTTACATTGCACTTTTCACACTGAAGAATTTCAAAGTGCTTTTCATTCAGGCTTGGACTGAACTAGCCAGGTGAAAAGGAAACTTCACTGTAGTCCACCAGACTGGATAATCCTACAGCATCCCACCTCCCCTGAGAGAGGCTTAAACACTGTGTTTGTGTCCTGGCTGCTCAGAGCCAGGGCTCAGAGCTGATGAAAATTTAAATCCATCACTTTGTCTGAGGGACTTGACTCCTGGAGAAGCATGGGACCTTGCCTACTGCCTTCTCCTACAGCTTGAGTTTGGATCTAGCACGTGTCTGTATTTTGTTTCTGTTTTAAGAACAACATGATTTGAGATATTCAGCAAAATCAGGGGTATGTAGCAAATTTAAGGAGGGCAGCATATGAAAAGGGTTGAAGCAGCTGGGTATATCAGAAGGATGCATATCACAGCAGAGAAGCCCCTCGTCATCCTCACCTATTGTGAGGCAACAATTATACATGCAACACCAGTAAGCAAAAGCACTCACGTACATAGTCCCCACTATGCATTTGCAAAGAAACAGGAATTGTGGCCAGTTGCCTCAGGAAAAGCAACTGGGGATTCCTAGTGCCTGATAAAGTGGTGGAAAGTCTAAAGCTCTGAGAGGCACTTCTGGAAAGTATAGTGAACTTGAAAGTGTACAGGACAGAAAAGATCCTGTCAGAACACTCGAAACACAGGCTGCAGTTTGGACCCAAAGGTTAAATGACTGAAGTAATTAATCCAAAGTGCCTCAGCCCTGCCCTGTCAAGGTCGGCTTTAAACGTGAGGGCTGGAAAGTCCCACAGGCCCTGGAAGTTCATGAATTCTTTTGCTACATCAACAGTGAAATGAGTAAGATTGAGACATGGGTACATACATTTGCCTTGTCATCATCCATATCATCAAGCTGCCAGCACAGTCCCGGGCATGGTTTCGGTCTAGGTCAACTAGCTTCCTCCCTGACTGTGGCTCGCTACGGTGACCAGAGCCATACCCAGAAAAGCAATTTGGGCATCTACAGTTAGCCTTACAGATGTGAGCTGGGCTGTGTCACTTAGGCTTAGGGGCAGAGATCAGCTCTTGGTCCTCGTACACAGATAAAGCTTTTGAGGCTACCATTGATAAGGCCACTTCATATCAGTCCTCATCTATAAAGATTTTGTAATTAGTAACACAAAGATGAAACTGAATAACAGAATACTTAGGTTGTATAGTAAGAAACATCTCTGAAAAGTTAGATTTATGTAGTTATAAAGATGTTAAAGAGACAGTTATAAAGTGGAAGAGTTATAAAGTGGAGGAGACAGTTGTACCACTCTTTTAAATAATTTAAAAATGGAATAAACAGAACCTAGAAAACTATACTGTAAGCCACACTTACATAATTGTCTGGTTGGACAGAGTGTGTGAAAAATGTACAATATCTCATGAACAGCTCATGACCATTCCGACTTTGGACTCTGTGGTTCTCTCATGGCTTCCTGCACTGAGGAGTCCACAGGATGACATTAACCCTACCTGCTCTGTCACTGCCTTAGAAAAATATTATGGGAACTACAGCGGATGTTATAGAGGATGTGCCACAAATTAAACACTAAGCAGCTTAGATAAATGGCAAGACATGAGGAAAGATGGCAATGGAAAACGTTTTGTGAGACAGCATTTCTTCAACAAAACAGCTCCACTCAAACTATTTCCATTATCTCTATCCTTCAGCAAACTGCAGAGAAAAGAGGAAAATCAAAGATGATACTTTACTTGAAGAGATCTATCAGGATGATAACAATGTCCTTATCCACTTCTGCCATCCCTAGGTCTGTGCTGACGTCAGCTGGAGAGCCACACATGATGATCACTACGGATTAGGCAAAAACGGAGACAGATTGGTGAAAGGTACAGACAAGAAAAGGAGATTTGCCTGTTCCCCCATGCTTGAGTAGCAGGCATTAGAGCAATGCTGGGCTAAGGCACATATTACCTGCCCAGGCACAGAGCTACACCCTCTCTGCAGTGACACCAGGATATTTGAGGGACGGTGGTAAAAGGTGCCTCAACAGCTGCACCATTTTCTGTCTGACTGCACCAGAGCGCTACCATTATCTCACTCAAATAAGCATTAGCAGTTCTGATGCAATATGGGCTACTAAATACGAACATTTCTCAGTTAAATGGCATTCAAGTAATAGCTTCATTGGCTTCCTTATTAGTCTCACACTCACTTGGCCTGTTGATGCCAGGTGCTTAGTCTTAGGAGAAGATGAGGTATTTACTCATCCATTTTTCTAGTTTAGATGGATCACTTCCAGAAGAAGTGCCCCTCGATGGCACAAATGATGCCCATATATGTACCAGGGCTGCAAACACAAGAATAGTAGAGAGCTAAGCATTCTTGTAGTATCTAAGGATCTTCTTAGGAGGAGTAATGATTCCTGGATTTCTGAATCTTTCACAAAATGAAGCTTGTTAATTGGGTTAATTCACCCCCAAAAGCTCTTTGGAACCAGGATGTTACCCCATATTTTATGGAGATGGAGAGAAGAATCTAGGAACTTTGTGCCATTTTATGTTTGCATCCATGTGAAATGGTATATCTGCATTTCTCTGCCATTTCTATGGAAAGACTGTCCCTAAATTTAACTAAGGGGTAGGTCTGATTTTCTGAGGAAAGCAACTTACCTGCAGGGCAGAGCGCACCCTCA